GACGGGCCATCCTGAACGGCCGGGGCGCTGCGAGTCACTGTGGCTGCCACTCGCCCGCTGATCGCCTGAAAAATCGCCTGAACGCCAGCGTGTCCGAAAGCATGGGTGGTCGAATCTCCCACTTCGGTGCGCTTGCGAGCTTGCTGGATCTCCCTGTCCTTGAGAACGATCGTGCCGATCGGGTTGCCGTACGAGGGGTCCTTGACCACGCCCCTGAAGCTGGCGCCCTTGTGAGTGATGGTCTTCAGGTCAGCCGCTGCGCAATCGACTCCGAACCACTCCTTGTGCCTAGCTTGAGGCCAAAACACACCGCATACCATCTCCGTTTCGAACGCCGAGATGTGCTCGGCGAAAATCCTGACGCGGAGGCAGTCAGGAATATCGTCCACGACCTTGATCACTGCCTCCGAGGGTTTGTTGCGATGGTCCTGATCGGGCGCGCAGTGCGACGGTGAACATAACACATCGCCCCCGACGTTTTCTCATAGCGCAGCAGGAGATCGCCGATCTCCTGATGCGCTATGAGATCATCGACATCGCCGATCAGCCCCGCGGGCCGATCTCAGATCGCCCCGCGGGGCCCGCCTGGAGGGTGGGCGGGCGAGGATCGACGAGGCGACCGGGCCAGAAGGAGGGAACCAGGTAGCCTGAGGCGGAGGAGGAGGTCTGGGAGGACTAGCTTGCAAGATGGGCGAGGACGAGGAAGAGGAGCAACAGAGCTGAGAAGGGGATGTAGCGAGTCAGCCAGCATGAAGCATATGATCATATGGACCAGGGCTGTGCGATCGGTTTGAGACGGGTCCTCATACAGGAGAATCATAAGGAGGTAGCGGTGGAAGAAGTCCTCATTCTGCAACGACTGCTCAATTTTCTTGCGCGTCTGGCCCTTCAAGCCCCACCCCATGCCGTTGCGGCAGCTGTGGCACTCGGTGGCGCCGGGCCTCACGGGGTAAGGAAGCGGGCCCCTATTTGCACCCGCGTCGCCCCGCCTTGCCATCGAGTTCCACGCGGGCCGCGCTGCCCCCTCTCGGAGGGCCGCAGCGCGGCCAGGGCGGAAGTCGATGAGGCGGGCGGGCTAGGAGCGGGCGGTAGAGAGAGGGGCCACTCGCTACTCCCAGTACTTCAGTATACCTGGTACCTATCGGGGGGTGCGTTCTGACCAGGATTCCGGAGCCGATCCAGGCGCTGCGACTCGTGGAGGCCGGGAGGCCTTCGCAACGGTATCTCGGCTGCGCGTGGAGCCCAAAGGGGGGGAGGGCCCGGGGAGGGGTAGCGAGCGCGAGGGAGCGGGCAGGCAATGCGGCGCGGGCAGCCTTGATGGCGCCAAGAAGGGCGTCTTGATGCCCGGCAGCGGCTGCCGCGTCACCCTGTACTGGCGGCGGCACATGGCGCACGCGGCGTCCTGGCGGACCGGGGGGGGGCGGGTGTGAGAGGGGCCCTACTCGTCGGCGTCGCCCCGCCATTCACCCTCTTCGACCGAGAGCGAAAGACGGGGCGACGAGGCGACGAGTAAGGCTGAGTAAGGGGGGTCAGATGGGCAATGTGACACGGGTTGCCAAGGTCGCGTCCTCGGCTGGGTACGGGAATTCAGGGGGCTGCGCAACGGGAGGTCCAGCCATCGAGCGCTCATTCAGGATCGCGTAGATGCGACTCTTGATCTTCTCGATGGTGTGCTCCTCTCGCTCGCTGCAGGGGTTGCGACCGTGGTGGCTCATGTGATCGCTCAAGGGCAGGGCATCTGCAAGACGGTCCAGCGCGTCCGAGCGAGGCGCCCCCGCTGACGAACTCGGCGGCATCGGCTCACGAGAGTCCCACTGGATGGACTGGATGGCGGATGGGGATCACTCGTGGCAGTAGCAGCTCACCAATTGCTTGGGCAGTAGCGGTGGCGGCAGGTCGGCAGCGGTAGCGGCGGCAGCACGAGCCGCGACGAAGGGGGGGTGGGGCCCTGCGATTGACGCTCTGGTGCGAGGGGGATCGGAATCATGAGTCATACTGCCAAAACACTGCACCGACCCCCCAAACCCTGACGCAAATGGCCGTGTATACCAAGCATCTACCCTCTACCCCGCATTGGTCCAATGTGGGGTAGATGATGGCATGCAATGTCATTGGATGCGTTGGGCCCCCACAGGGCCCGTCGAAGCTAAACCCGACGGCGCGTCAGCGCGCCCCGAAAGCAAAACGTGCTATCAGTTGGTGTATTAGAGTATCGGATATTAGATACTAGATACTCGATGGACACGACGAGCCTGGTCCGTAGATGGGAGTGGGGCGGTGCACGCGTCCATTGACTGTGATGATAGACAGCTTCTGTGAGCGATGCTCGCACAAGTGTCGTCGTGCATCGTCGATCGGGGGACTGCGCCGGCTGCGATGGGGCCTGGAGCCTGGATGGGGCTGGGCCGACCCGCGGCCAATCGCCGCGCCCGCGGAAGAAGGCGAGCTGCCAGTGGTGCCACACGATTGGCGCACGCATTGCTCGGATGCAGTTGGCGCAAGTCGACCCCGAGACCTGCCAGATTCGACGCTGCACAGCGCCTGGCCACCAGACTCGCCAAGATAAAAGGTTCGGCTCGTCGTGTCAGAGTGCACGCGTGCGAATCCTACCCACCGCCTGATGCACGAAAAACAACAAATTCGCTCGCGCCCCTCTGCCGCAGTCGAACTGTGACGAAATTTGTTCATGTTGGCGTGCTAGCCTGCAACATGCGTATGGTGTGTACGTTCAGGCAACGACGGCACGCTGCATATCTTAGTATTGCAATACATAGTGCATGGTGCGGTGCGTTTACAATTCAATGTGTACCAGAGAGGACCCCAAACATGTCGGCGCATGATGACTACTGACTTGGACTTACACATCCACCGCGTAAGGTATCTGAGTAAGTTATGCGCTGCAAGCTCTGCGGCAAGCGTGTGCGCTAACGCTGGGCTGTGCAAGCTACGCGTGGTGTAAATAAGCTGGGAGATGTGGCAATGTGGCGTGAGTGATGCGGTGCGTGCCATGTGGCATTCAGAGGTGCTATCTAGCGCGACCACCAGGCGCGCAAGGCCGCGAAGCAGCCGCGGGCGGTCGCCGGGCGAGACCTCGCGCCCACGAGGGCGGCCTCAGGCGGATACCAGATACCAGGCAGAACCTCGGCACGGCGCACCCGCCCAGCGCACCGCGCGCCCACGAGACGCCCAGGCGTCTTCCAAGACGGCCGCCCCTAGAAGTCTAGAATGCACCCAGAGACCAGAGGGCCCCCAGAGGCTCCCGAGCACGCCAAGTCGCCAATCGCACGCGGTTGCGCGAGATAGGGCGTGCTCGGGGCCTCCAGCGGGAGCCCAGGGGTCATCCTCGAGCCCTCTGCGGGGGAGCCAATGAGTTTCCAAAGGGGGGGGGCGCCAACCCGCCAGGTTCCACTTGAAACCGACCCAGGCACACCGCATGCAATTCCCTTGTGGAGTGAGTGCAAGCACTGGTCTGGAAATAATGTGCGCGTGTGTCACACACTTGGCACTTGGCCTCGACGACGGCAGGGGTGGCGACGGAGGCGCACGGCTCAAAATAAGCCGTCGAATGCCGTATCAACATCATCTTCCACGATCGGGTCCCTCGCAAACAGCCTGTGGGGAAGCCTGGGGAGGACGGTCAGCTTCTCCGCCTTGCGCTGCACGGCGACCCCCAGCGCGGTGATGATGGCCAGGACGACGGCCGCAAGGCAGCCTTGCACGGGGGGGGGGTCTGGACAAGCGCAATGGAGTGCGTGTACAGTGTACAATGGCAATGGGATGTACATATCGACGGATCGGTCCTGGGGCCCTTGGGGTCTCAAGAGAAGAGCCTAAACCAAACATATTGGTATTCTGGCACAAGGTGGGCCCGGGCCCGACGAAGACCTGACTGAGCGACGATTGACCTCGATCTCAGGGCATAGAGCGTAGTAGAGTTCCACCTCGACAAGCGGAAGAGGGAAATCAGTGACAGGATAAGTGGTAAGGATTGCGGAGGTCGGTATCGTGTGTTCGTTTTCTGTTTGGTCTCTCTCTCTCTCTCTCCCTCTCTCTCTCTCTCTCCCTCTCTCTCTATATATCTCTCTCTTTCTCGTGTTGTTGGTGTTGTTGCTGTTGCTGTTGGCGTCGAGGTTGTTGGTTTTATGGTTGTTGTTGTTGCTGGTATTGCTGTTTGTGGTTCTCTCTCTCTCTCTCGCTCTCTCGTTCGCTCGCTCTATCTCGCTATCGCTCTCCCTCTCTCTCTCTCTCGTCCGCTCTCCCTCGCGCGCCCCATCCGTCTCTCCCCGCGAGCCCACGAGTCGCGCGAAGGCTCCGAGGGGCCGCGGCCAAGAGTATCGAGGCCCACCGAGATTGCACTTAAGGCAGCGGTCGGAGGGCCTCGACGGGGCTCGCAGAAGGCTGCGAACGGGGCCCTGGGCCCTGGGCCCTGGGGAAGCCCAGGCACAGCGTGCAATTGCACGTCGTGCGTGGGCCTCTCTCGGGGAGTCATGCTCGCTCGTTGGGGGCGGTCGTGGACCGTGGAGGGGGTGCGTGGGCTGTCTGCGAAGCTAGTCGGCCAGGTGATCCTGTGAAGCTAGTCTGCATGGCGTTATGGCTTCTTGCGCCCGAGGTCCTGCGGGGCCACTTAGGCTCTAGTGACTAATGGGGTGAGTCGGGTAATCCGAGATATGCACACACGCGCATAACCTTGATAGCAACGGGAAAGACGCATATCATAGAGATAGATAAGGAGACATAGGACTATATATATAGATTAGTGAGAGAGATACAGCAAACGAGAGATCGAGATATATGGGCAAGATGGGGATGGGGATAGAAAAAGAGAGAGAGAGAGAGAAAGAGAGAGAGAGAGGGAAAGAGAGAGAGAGAGAGAGAGCGTGCGATAACGAGTGAGAGAGAGAGAGAGAGGGAGCGAGAAAGGGGGGGCGCGCATCAAGCACCGACGCCGATGCCGCTGTCACAGCGGCAACAAGGTGAAAGAAAGAGGAGGGACCGCCCGCCTGTGTGCATCGCATTCCCGGCGAGGTCGCGCAGGAAGCCGCTGGAGTACTCCCTGATCTTGGAGTCCTTCCCTGGGTAGTAGATGCCCTGGCACTGCATGAACTCCAGGCCGTTCATCACGCGGACCTTGTCGGAGACCCACACCTTGTTGTTCGGGCAAACGCACGGCACGTGGGGCGACGGGCCTTTGGGCAAAGGGCCGCTCCGCTCGCCATTCTGCCCCAGCTCCATGAAGCGCCGGATCTTGTCTGGCACGGGCATCCCCTTGCAAATCAGCATGTCGAGCTCCCGCCGAGAAATGCCCCGGATGCCAGCGTGCGAAGATGCGACGGAAGCCAGGTCGGACGTCGCGAACCAGTGCCCCGTGCGATTGCTGATCGCGGAGTGCTGAGACGGCCACATCGCATCACTGTCAGGGCGGAACTCCTCCATCCACGGCAGCGTCTTCTTCCAATCGGCATCTGCGATCGCCACCACGTACGGGTCAGAGTCACCCAGGAAAAGCGAATCGATATTGTGAAGCTTGTGGCCAGCGAACCTGTCCAACAGGCGGGTGATCCAGTCGTAGAGCTCTGCGTCGGTCACGCCCAGCTCGCCCATGACCTTGCGGCTGATAGCTGGAATCCACACCCGACCTCTGGAGACTGGCGTTGCGAACATCCTGGGATCCAAGACCACCGCGAACGCGAACTGGTTCGTGTCGTAGTCGAGCATGCGCAGGGCGTAGGCCAGATTGCTCTCGCTCGCGGGCTCGCCGTGCGGCGGCTCCGCGATCTCCTTCACATTCTCGCCAATGGAGAATATGAGGCTGCTGGCCTTGACCCCCCCTAAGAGGTCCACGATGCCGGCGAAGGCGGTGCCTGTCTTCCCAGTCTTGGCCTGGATGTTCCTCTTGAACTTCTTGACGTTCACGTTCCTGGCGGACACATCTTTGCAGGGGAAGCCATGGACTGCGATCCTGAAGTTGGGCACGCTCACCTTGTCCGACGTCTCGCCGTTGCCCAGGGGCGAGGTGGCGTGGTTGTCGGCCTGCCGCAGAACGCAGAGAGAGAGGGCGACCCAGCGAGACGGGACCAGGGACGAGCGATGGGATTGAGGAGCACAGAACAGGAGCGAGGCGGAGCAGCAACAGGGGACACGGATGGCGGGATATAACCAGTCGATCGCAAATTGTTGTTGGATCCCCAGATCTCAGGAAAGCAGAGGCTAAGGATAGTGATAATCATTAGCCTGCGCTTTCCTGAGATCTGGTAGCCAGGTATCGGCATGGGAATATCGAATAGTCCCATGCCAGTGCCAGGTTACCAGATCTTCAGAGGGTCATGGTTGAATTGATTGCGTGCCGCAAGGCCTTCTCATCTGCCGCTGCCACCGCCGCTAGCTCGCAGACATCGCCGAAGATCTTGTGGTTCGGGGTCTCCGAGAACATGTCCGCAATGAACGCCCTGGGTGGCGGGCAAGACAGATGGCCATTGGGGCGGCGCCCTCCCGCCATCGCAATCTCGTATCAGGTGTTAACTCGTGCATGCATGGGCGCGCACGCATGTCTCAGTGCAGCTGCGCACGTCCACGTCGCATAGACATAGACTGCAGTGCTATCCGATTGTCATAGTACGCGCGTGTGCGTACAACGTCAGGGTGGGGGGGGGGGCGAAAGGTTTCACTGCGCCCCTGGGTGCGTGACAGAAGTGGTGATCCGCTGTGAGGATTATGTTTGCTGTTGGTGCTAGTGGTTGGCGTTTCTATTGTTGTCGGTGATGTTGAGGATCCTGTTGCTACTGTTGTTTGTGGTGTCGCTGGCGGTGTTGATGTTGCTGTCGGTGTTGGTGTTGATGGGGTTGTTGGTGCTGCTAGCGTCGTTGTTAGCGCTGGTGATGGTGATGTTGTTTGTTGTTGTTGTTGCTGCTGGTCGTGGGTGTTAGTGTTATGTTTGTTGTTGTTGCCATTGTTGTTGTTAGTGTTTAGCTATATTTCTCGGCGGGTCGCGGCGCGGTTGGGCCCCGATTGCCCGACGGCGCCGCCCAGGGCCAGCAGTGACCGAAGAGCCAAGAGGGAGATCTGAGATCTAGTAGGGCCCCAAGAAGACTCAATAATACTCCAAGAGCATGCAGCATACCCCCCCCCCTCGACTCTGCGGGCTCCAGGCGGGGGTCAGGGTGGGTGGCGATCTACACTGTAGATTCACGAGTGACCATCGAGACAGGGCCCCAAGACCCAAGACAGAGGGCACAGGAGGGGCCAAGACGGCTCCAACCTCCACGAGATGGCCCCACGACCCACGACCTAAGACGGCTCAGGGGATGACCCTGAGACGGCTCCAACGCTCCAACAGAGGGCCCCGAGAGCGGTCGCTGAGGGGGCCGAACGACTCGCCCGCGCCTCGACCCACCCGCAACCCACCCGCGACCCGCCCGCGACCCATCCGCGACCCATCGGCGCCGCGAACCACCCGCGACACACCCGCACCGCGATCCGCCCGCGCCGCGACCGATTTGGGGCTCTCTTTGGGGGTCTCTATCGGGCATGGGCCTGGGGCCGTGGGCCTCATTGCCCATTGGGCCCTTGCATTCGACTGAAAACTGAGGGGGTCGAACGACTCACCTCCTCCTTCCTCCCTCGACTCTACTACGGCGCGCGTCTCATCCCGCCCTCCCCCCCCTCCTTCCTCCAGGGCCCCCATGGCCCATGGGCCCATGGGCCCATGGGTTTTCGGCGTTCGGGCCCCTGCGGAGCCGATGGGTCGCGGGCGGGTCGCGAGGCGGGCGGGTCGCAAAACCAAGGATGGAATGCGCGATGGGGCGCAATGGTTGGGGTGGGAGATTCCCCCCGCGACCCGCCTCTTGTGAGGGTCGAGTTCGGAGCTGAACGCGTGGCCGATGCTGAAGGTCTCGCTCTCGCTGGACAGCGAGCGGGACACGGCATCCATGACCAAACGCGGCCCGTCAGTGCCAGCGCAGAGCATCGCCGCGTCGAGCGGCCCCTTGCTATCTACCTCGGCGGCAGCCCAGCGGAAGAATGCGGAGGCCGACGTCTTCTCCGCGTTGCTGAGACGCCCAACCATCTGGCCAGTCACCCAATCCAGGTAGTCACGCGGTAACAGTGCGTGCTCACCGCGTGGGGGGTGATCGTCGCCAACACTAGGTGTGAAGATCGGGTACATGACAAAGGAGCGAGCGTCGGCGGTGTCGCTGGGGGGGCGACCCGGATCGGCATGAGAGCCCAGGGCCTTCCCCCCCGCCGCGACAGGCCCGCTGGCGCTCCCGGCGACCGAGGCTGCCGACGTCTTCGGCGAAGGCGGCTGCTGCTGCTGCTGCTGCTGCTGAGGCGGCTGCTGCTGAGGCGGCTGCTGCTGAGGCGGCTGCTGCTGAGGCAGCTGCTGCTGAGGGGGGGCTGTGCAGCCGCCGCCGCCGACGGCTGCAGCCGTCGGCTCCGTGTCCTCGGGCACCGGCGGCACCGGGCGCTTGGCCAGCGCGGCGGCCTGGCGGGGGCGGGGGCTGGGACGGGGTAGGTCTTGCGGGGGAGGGCCCAGGAACCAGGATCCAGGATGCCGCATCCAGGATGCCGAACCAGCCCACCAAGGGCCTCTACGAGAGTCTGTGATATACTAAAGGACCTCTAGTAGAGCGGCGCTATTCTACCGTAGAGAGGGGCCGCTCTAGCCTTGAATGGCGCCGTTCTAGCCTAGAACGGCGCCGTTCTAGGCTAGAGCGGCCCCGATCTACGCTAGGACGGCACCGTTCTAGGCTAGAACGGCGCCGTTGTAAGCTAGAATGGCGCCGTCCTTGACGTAGAACGGTGCCGGTCAAGCCTAGAGCGGCGCAGTCCTAGCCTAGAACGGCTCCGTTTTAGGCTATAGGGCTATCTGTCTATACTAGGCTATAGGGGTACATGGCTAGAGGGCTATAGGACTACAGGCTGCTACAGGGCGATAGGGCTATAGGGCCATACTATAGGGCTATGGGGCTGTAGGGCCATATGGCTATTGGGCTGTCGGGGATACAGGGCTGCAGGGATATAGGGCTATTCGGCTATATGCTATATGGCTATAGGGCTATAGGGCTACAGGGGCTACAGGGGTTACAAGGGCAAGAGGGGCTAGAGGGTTGTGATTCAGATTTTCGAAGGCTTACAGCTTCCGCCCCGGCGCATGCTCGCGTAGTTGGGTCGGCTTCCGCGCGGGCGTCGCCGGGAGTGGAGGAAGGGAACGGTCACCCTAGAACCCCCCCCATTTTAAGGTAAAATCCGCCCCATATTAGGGTGACCCGTGGCGCCCTCTCAGGAACAAAAACATGGGCTAGAGGGCTACAGGGCCATGCGGATATTGGGCTATAGGCTATAGACAAGAATGAGAAACCGAAGAAGAACGCGAAGGCGGGAGGAGGAAGAGGAGGAGGAGGAGGAGGAGGAGGAGGAGCTGGAGGAGGAGGAGGAGGAGGAGGAGGAGGAGGAGCAGGAGGAGGAGGAGGAGGCCGACGGAGGTCGCTGGGCGGAGCCCCGAGAGGGCCCCAAGACGGCTCCAGGCGGCCCCCAAGAGGGTCCCAAGAGGCCCCCGAAAAGCCCCCCGTGGCGTATATAACTGGAGGCTCTTGTTATGCACCCTTGGGGCTTGGTGCCCTCTTGAGACCCTCGCGGGCCCTCTCCAGCGCCCTTGGAGGGCCCCAAGAGGGCCCCAAGACGGCTCCAGGCGGCCCCCAAGAGGGTCCCATGATGCCCCCAAGAAGCCCCCTTGTGGCGTATATAACTCGAGGCTCTTGTCATGCACCCCTTGGAGCCGTCTTGGCGCCGTCTTGAGACCCTCGCGGGCCCTCTCCAGGGCCCTCGGAGGGCCCCAAGAGGGCCCCAGGCGGCCCCCAAGAGGGTCCCAAGATGCCCCCAAGAAACCCCCCGTGCGTATATAACTCGAGGCTCTTGTTATGCACCCCGTGGAGCCGTTTTGGTGCCGTCTAGAGACCCTCGCGGGCCTTCTCCAGCGCCCTTGGAGGGCCCCAAGAGTCAAGAGGGCCCCAAGACGGCTCCAGGCGGCCCCCAAGACCCAAGAGGGTCCCAAGATGCCCCCAGGAAGCCCCCCGTGGCGTATATAACTCGAGGCTCTTGTTACGCACCCCTTGGAGCCGTCGTGGTGTCCTCTTGAGACCCTCGTGGGCCCTCTCCAGCGCCCTTGGCCCAAGAGGGCCCCAAGACGGCTCCAGGCGGCCCCAACAGGGTCCCAAGATGTCCCCAAGAAGCCCCCGTGGCGTATATAACTCGAGGCTCTTGTTATGCACCCACTGGGGCGGGTGGCTGGCGGGCGGCCGGCGGGCGGCTGGCGGGAGGGTGGCGGGCGGTTGGCGGGCGGCTGGCGGGCGGTTGGCGGGCGGTTGGCGGGCGGCCGACGGGCGGTTGGCGGGCGGCTGGCGGGCGGTTGGCGGGCGGCTGGCGGGCGGTTGGCGGGCGGCTGGCGGGCGGCTGGCGGGCGGCCGGCGGGAGCTGGCGGGCGGTTGGCGGGGGCTGGCGGGCGGTTGGCGGGCGGTGGCGGGCGGCCGGGCGGTTGGCGGGCGGTTGGCGGGCGGTTGGCGGGCGGTTGGCGGGCGGCCGGCGGAAACGGGCCCCGGCGGGAGGCCCTCGCAACAGGTTTTCGCTCGAGACATCCTCGAAAAAGTGCCTCCCAGTGCCCCGCCTTTTGGCCGCGAGGCCCTGCAAACGCAAAAGACGGGGCACTGGGAGGCACTTTTTCGAGGATGTCTCGAGCGAAAACCTGTTGCGAGGGCCCCCCGCCGGGGCCCGTTTCCGCCGGCCGCCCGCCAACCGCCCGCCAACCGCCTGCCAACCGCCCGCCAACCTCCCGCCGGCCGCCCGCCAACCGCCCGCCAACCGCCCGCCAGCCGCCCGCCAACCGCCCGCCAGCTCCCGCCGGCCGCCCGCCAGCCGCCCGCCAGCCGCCCGCCAACCGCCCGCCAGCCGCCCGCCAACCGCCCGCCAGCCGCCCGCCAACCGCCCGTCGGCCGCCCGCCAACCGCCCGCCAGCCGCCCGCCAACCGCCCGCCACCCTC